ACGAAGCAGAGAGGATTTACAAATCCAGGATTAATCTGTGTTTTCCCCCTTGCTCCAAGCGGACGTTCCGGGCCTGTTTTGTGTCATTTTGTTTGAATATGTTTGGTAGCCATAGTTTTGTTCAAAATTATTCGGAATATAAAAAAGGCTGTAAGGGGTAAATTTTAGACAAGCAGAACCCAACCATACAGTGCCATAGGCACCAGTGCCGACCGGAGTTAGATTCTGGTAAGTGTTCGGCACGATCCACACAGTTTTGTTCAGCTCGACAGCATAGAAGCCCGGCTTCAGCGTCTTCGCCTGCTGCTGCTGCTGCTGCTCCATTCCGATATGTTATCTCATTGGTGCTCGATGATGCTTCTGCAAATGAGCAGCAGCAGTGAGTGCATCAAGCGAGCTGCAGCGACCTTCCCCGGCACGCCGCGAGCCACATTTCTTGGGAGGCGGCGAAACAACAACCCATGGCTGCGCATTGCTCGAACCCGCAGCGACAGGGAGACCCCCAACAAAGCCAACTACTGTATCCGTCGCGGTGGATGAATGTGCTGCAGTGGGGGCGTATCCGCAGAGCTATCTGGGGCCCGGTCTCCTCGGCTCGGCGGGTGGTCTTTTGTGCTTGCGGCTAATGGCTGAGTCATCACATCCGGAGTTTTCCCCGTACAAAACACAAAAAGGCATGTGTGTATGTGCGAAAAAAAAAAGAAAAACGCGGAAATGCCATCGGAGCTGATCATCCCGCAGATAAGCAGCATTCCCCGCATTCGGCCAGCACCGCAAAAAACAACATTTGCATAAACGCAGCCGAATTCACGATGCGGGAAGGCGAAGAGCGTACAGTCAGTGGGCAACACTTGCAGCGGCCCCTCCAGCCACATGCTATTCCTGTGAACAGCCGAATGCAGCGCCTGTTGCTGTTGCTGCTGCTGCATCGGTCACGCTTATTCCCTCGTGCTTGGCGCTTTTCCGGGGGCTCCAAGCTACACACACTAATTCCATCCACAATTCCAAAGTTTTTAGATTTTTTTTGGCGCTGGATGAGTGCTGCAGCCCTGCCACCTGCACCAGCAGCAGCAGCAGCAACAGCAGCAGCTCCGAAACCCTCGCATCTAAACCATCCCGACACATAAACCTAATCTCAACAAGCAATGTAATCTAGCCTCAACAACCTGCACGAATACGTTAACAGAAATAGCCCCCTCACGCCCATACCCTCAATTATCACCTGCCCCCTCCTTGTTGTGGCTCAAGCCGAGCGGTATTTTGCGGCTCACCACTACCACAACAATGAGGGAATCCGAAATCACTGCGCGATGTGCGTTTATCTCGTTGTTGGCATGTTGTGTACCTTCAATGCTGGCACTGGATTTTACGTGTGTTCTCACGACCAGATTTACTTCTTTATGCCATTTACGCTTCCCCCAACTACCACAGGATGACTGGCTCTCCCCGGCTCTGTATGTTCAGTTGCGGAACAGCCGCGCTGCTTTTTGCGCTTCCATACATGCATCATATCCCTTCAGACCCATCAGTAACTGCACTCCCCCAAACAGAAACCCCGCGTGCAACGCAGGGAAGTCAACCAAAAACTCGGCTCGGCCGCGCAAAAAGCACTCGTTTGTGGGTCTGCTAGGATCGATGAGAGGCAATCATGCAATTTTCAGTTTTTGTTTTTTTTCTATAGGATTTTGGAGAAAGAAAATAGAGAAAAGAATGTTGTACAAGTAGCACAACATTCCTATCTCTGTTTTCTTTCTCCAAAAGTGAGTTCAGAATCCCATTGGGAGCAAAAAATCCGGAACCTTAGCATATTTGCATACGAAGATCTCATCCCAAATCCACACCGAAGGAACAGATCCTGGAACCATGCGAACAACAAGTCTGGCAAATTAAACATGATGTGTGAGGATGCATCAGTCAGCTGTGTGCCAAGAACCTAACACAAAACGCATGATTGTAATGCACGCTATTTTGACGGTGCGTAACAACTGTGCTTCAAGTAACAAAATGACATAACTAGTAATTTATTGCCCTTAAATACTGTACAAAAACATAGCTATTTTGGATGAGAGTTTAAATAAAAGAAATATTTAGATCGCAAAAAAAAAAATGGATTTATTTCTCAAGTTGGAGGTTTCAGTGTTTCATCGTAATTTTTGACGGGTGGTTTGCTTCGATCAGCATCGTTGAAGTAAACATCCTTGAGAAGCATTTTCGCCGAGGCACGTCTGGCCGGATTGTATATGAGTATCTTTTTCAAAAACTGAATTCCATCTGCATCCATATAGTCATTGAATTCGCTGTCAATGATACTGTTGGTGTACTGAGGGAACTGCCCCTCAGATTTCGGCAGTTTAAGCATTCTTGGCCAGCCTTTTTCAGTGAGTGTTGTCAACTTTTTGTAGATTTGGTGGAGTTGGTCGATCTCAGAATCACAGGGGAAAAGTGGCGTTTTGGTGGCCAGTTTAGCGAAGATGCAACTGATACTCCAGATGTCCACCTCTTCGTGTACTTTTTACATTCATGAAGCAGTTCCGGAGACCGATACCAGAGCGTTACAACTTCGGATGTGAAAGCTTTCGTGTTGATATCAACTTTTCGCGCGAGGCTAAAGTCAGTGAGCATGAGCGTATTCTGTCCTTCCAGGAGGACATTTCTTCGCTCTAA